ACAGGCCTTCCTTGCTTGTCTCCATCCTGGCCCCTCCACCATGAATCCTGAGGTGATGACAGGTTGAGTCTTTCTCCTATTACCCTCTGTCTTGGAGGCCAGATGCTGGTATTCCCGTGTCACGCCCGATGTTCGAGGAAGGTGACATGCTCCACAAAGTTTTATGGACCAGTTTCCATTCAAGCAAATTGTTCTCTTCAGCACCCCAGTTCTTTCTGGCTCTTCCTGAGATGATTTCCAAGGCAGGCTCTGTGAAGGCAAAAGAGATTTTAGACTTTATTGTGTGAGAAGCATCCTGGGGAGAACTATAGGTCTTTAAAAATTTTAAGCCTCTTGTGCAGGAGTTTTTTTTTTTTTTTCTCATAATGGATGCTGTGTCCTTCTCAGTCTATCATATCAGGAGGTTTACCAACATGGTCTCTATTTCCCAGTGCTGGTATGTTAAGGTTGGTCTTTTAAGGTGGCGTCTACCAAGTTTTTCAACAGTAAAGTAATTTTCCTCTTTGTGATTAATAAGTATCATTTGAGATACTCTGAAGCTCTTCGAGTTTTCATCCACTAGTTTTAACATCTATTGATAATTCTTTTCTGACTAATTATTACTATAGTGATTGCCACATGGTGATTTTTAAAAAAATTTTTTATTTCGTTAAATTCTTTTATTGGTACAATTTTAGGTATACAATACGTTTACATTTATCATTGGGTGCTTGTACCTGTACATGCTGTATTTTTGTTCTTATTTTTTCCCCATTACCTGTGCACCCTTCACCCCTTCCACCCTTCCCTATTTACATAGACTTTGTTTCCATTTTTTTTCTTTTCTCATAATTTTTCCTTTCCCTTCTTCCCTTTCCACATGGTGATTTTTAAATTCTATCAATCTCTCTACACTTACTGTTTGGCATTCTATTGCAGTAAAGAAGAGCTTTCCTTTCTTTCTCACCTATTTATATCAGTATGAGGCCGGGGATTTAGCTCAGTGGTTCCTCCGCCTGCCTTGCAAGCACAAGGTCCTGAGTTCTATCCCTGGTACCCCCCAAATATATATATCAGTATGGACTCAGGGTCTCCTGTTTGATCCTAGGTAATATCATCTGTTACTGCCAAAGCCAAATAATCAACATTTACAGATAAAGAAATAGCAGACAAATCCAAATTTAGAGGCATTCAAAAATAAATGGCCTATATTCTTCAAAATATCAAGACCATAAAAGACAATGAATTTTAAGCAAGCATTCCAGATTAAAGGAAACTAAAGAGATATGATGATTATATGCAATATGTGGACCTGGAAGGGATCCTAGACAGGAGTTTTGCAAAAAAATTTTTTTTCTATAAAGAAAAATAGTAGGATAATTGAAAAAAAATAGGAAAACTAAATAAGATCTGTGCCCAGTTAGTAGAACTATATCAATGTTGATCTGATTTTTCTAGTTGTATGTGGTTATATAAGAGCATGTCTTTGTTTTTAGGAAATGCACCCTGAAATGTTTAGAGATAAATGGTTATTTTTTTCTTCAGCTTACTTACTCTCAAATGGTTCAGAAAAAAATCAATAAGAACATAGTAAAATGTTAATATTTGGGAAACCTAGCAGAAGCGTTCATGGGAATATTTTGTGCATTTTTAGCAAACATGTAAGTCTGAAATTATTTCAGAAATAAGAAGTTAAAATTCATGAGCACCCAGGATTCCCCCGAGGCCTCAAGTATTTTATTTTCATTATCAAACTCAACCTGCATCCCGATGGTCCCCAAGTGTGTAACCAGTGTGACTCCCTCATGGCCCAGTCTGCTGTTCCTTTTCCCTTCCTTAGACTGAAGCCGGTCAGGAGGGAAGTGCAAACGAACACCTCTGGTGGCCCTGTGCTGGGGGCTGTGAGTTTGAGGAGAAAGAGACAGAAATCAGCTGGACTCCATGGCTTTGCTGCCAGTCCTTGGCTTTTGGCTTTCTGAATGCATATGAAGTCCAAAATGACCATGCTGAAGGAGGAAAGAAGACAGCTGAAAGAATGATGGAAAATTGGCCTGATAAAATTTATTAAGACTTGCCTTCTAATACCCCAGCCTCAAAGTTTGTTCACAAGTGAGTTCCCATGTAAACCCAGTAACAAAGGAAATATTGGGAGAAAGAGTTTTCCATTCTTGCCTAATTTCTTTCATTTAGAGCTTGATTTCTTTTCTATCCAGGGATTGATGTGTGCTGAAGAAACAAGTTTGTTTTTTAATTTGGGAGAAATGAATAATGATTACAGCTTCATTCTTTGGGGCAAAGTGTGGGCCAGTCAGAGATCTTGCAAGCAGTTTGTGGGAATCTTACCACACCAATACTTGGAGTTGCATCCAAACTTTCTGTCTCTAAAAGGAGAGCTATGATCTGTGTGGCTCCAGAGACTGAATGTACTAGAGGAACCCAAGCTTTCAAGCAGCCAGCCCCTTTCCACCTCAGAACTGGTCTCCTCTGAGCTCTCAGGGGCACAGGCACCATGCAGCACCTACTCCTCTGTCCTTGCGCTGCTGGTGGCTGCTTTGCATTCAGTAGCAGATGCAGGTTTGGATACAAAGTCCATGATTACTGGGAGGTGGTCTGTGGCTCACAGGGTCAAAAAATCACACAGGATTTGGAGACATGCTCTCTTCACTGAGCATGACTGAATGCGGACAGGGGAATGGGCACAGGAGAACAGGGACAGGGGGTTTCAGGGTTTTTTTTTGTTCAAAAATTTTAGCCTTAAAGGAGAAGGAGGTCCACCTTCCACATATCCTGCTTCTTCCTCATTCCAAGGATGGTACCTGTGGCGTTACTGGGCATCTGCCTGGAGAGAAGGGCCAACTTGTTCCTGTCTCAGAAATGGCCATGTGGGTCTGTACATCAGTCCTGGTGTCAGCAGCTTGGAGAAAAGTGTCCCTCTGAGACTGGAGGCAAGGTTGTCTGAGATTGCTGCATCCGGAATGGGAATTCCCATGGGAATCGTGGTGCTTTGTTGGCTCTCTTAACTACATTTATGTGAGGCAGCGTTCCTGAGAGCGAGTGCTGGGCCAGAGAAGTAATAAGGAAGTAACTGTCAAGGGAAAGCTGGCTGCCACATTAATCTCTCGTCCCAGGTTGTGCTAAATGATGTAGAAAGAACTTCTACTCTAAGAGCGACGGACATTTTAATAGGCACCTGAAAACCCTGCAAGTGAGAGAGGCGAGTTTTCCCAAGGCTGGCACAGTGCAGTGCTGGGAATCAGCTCTTATTAGTGCTGTGTCCACAGGCTGGTGGTCTGAGGAACAGGCAGGTAATAATTCTTCGTTTACCAAGCTCTCAGCAGACAGGTCTATTTGAAGGAGAAACACTGACGCCTGCAGGACAGCTTCGTCCCACCTTAAAAGAGGCTGCAAACAGCAGCCACAGACTGGAGTTGGTTTCCAAACTCCGTCATTCTTACTCTTACAACTCATGGATATTAATCTCTCCAGGCCTCATTTCCTTGCCTAGTGACATGGGGCTAGAAATAGCATTTTCTTTGTATGGTTGTGGCAAGATTTTTAAAATGAATCAGTATAAGTAAAGCACACAGAACAGGGTCAGAGATGTAGCAGGAATTCTGTAACGGTTGGCTCATGCTATTACCATAAATAAGAGACCCCTCTAAGGTTATTTATTGTGACCATGCTTCTTGATTATCTCAAAGAATGGAAAATACTGTGCATGGAAACAAATCATTAAACCGTGCTCGCTGTTAATAGTCATTACTAAAGTTTCTTTTGGCACAGAAACCTGTCTCAGATGCTTGATTTATTTATTTATTTATTTATTTGGTACTGGGGATTGAACTCAGCTCCTTGTGTTTGCGCAGCAGGCAGCAAAACCACTGAGCTAAATCCCCGGCCCGTTTTATTTATTTATTTATTTATTTTAAAGATAATAACCCGAATTTATTATTAGATTTCATTAGAAACATCAAAGGGGAATGAAATGTTGTAAATAAAAAAGTAGGCAAAAAATAGTGATATAAAGCAAATAAACAGACATGCAAGTGTGTCTCCTGGAAGAAGAAT